CTCTCTCTCTCTCTCTCTCTCTCTCTCTCTCTCTCTCTCTCTCTCTCTCTCTCTCTCTCTCTCTCTCTCTCTCTCTCTCCCCCTCCCCGTTTCCCCTCCCGCTCCTCCTCCCGCTCCTTCTACCACCCCTCCTCCGCCCCTTCCTGTTTCTCCTCGTGCTCCTTCCGCTCCTAACCCCCTCCCCGTTTCCCCTGCCGCTCCTCCTTCTCCAGCTCCTCCTCCCGCAGCTCCTGCGCCCCTTCGCATTTCCCCTCCTGCTCCTTCTCCCTCACCTGCTCCCGCTTCTCTTTTTCCCGCTCCTTTTCCCATCCCTCCTCCCGCTCCTCCTGCTACTCCTCCCGCTACTCCTCCCGCTCCTCCGCCCGCTCCTCCGCCAAACAACGTGACAACGATCCCGCGATAGCCAGCGCTAGTCCATGCACGGCACTCTTGCAGTCCGTACCCCGCTGCCACCCGGCTGCAGCGCCACCGCCCACGCACCGCACTCCCCACAGCCCCACGTGATGTACATCCCGACCTGTCCCCGCTGTGGATGCGAAGCAACGAACGCTCCGATAACCTCCTCTCCCCCCCGTGCTAAAAAGATCCACGCACCACACTCCCCACAGGCCCACGCGATGCGCACGCCGCGCTCACGCTAAAAAAAAAGAACCACACAGTCCACGCACGCGCTCCAGTCCCGCACCCAATGGCCGCCCACGAAACGCCGCCGAATTCCCTTGCCGCAGTCCCGCCCCCCACCGCACCGAATTTCGCTGGGCCCAGCGGGAAGCGTCACGCTGGGCCCTTTGCATTCCTTAAGAGTATAGGGATGTGTTGGCGTTGAGTGGGCTTGGGCCTGCACTTGGGAGGTTGCTCATGGCATTTACTGTGGACGTTGAAAAGGTCTTGCATTGCGCCTAATAACAAGCTCTCTCTCTCTCGCTCTGTCTCTCTCTCTCTCGCCCCCTTGTGTTTCTGTTTGTATGTGCACATGCATGTGTGTTTGCAATCTTTGTTGGAGGGCCTCTGGCCACAATTGTCTGTACCTGGGTGTAGATGATGCAAGCTTTTTCTGAGGGCCTCTGGCCACAATTGTGTGTACCTGGGTGTAGATGATGCAAGCTTTGTCTGAGGGCCTCTGGCCACAATTGTGTACCTGGTTGTAGATGAATTTGCACACTGAATACTCATTCTGGCTGTGGGTCTTTCAGTCGCGGGGATTCTGCGTGCCTGCCCTTAGGGGGGCGTTGAAGGCGGTGGCGCATATAATGGCAGTGGCAGGATTTCGGAAGCTCATGTTGCTCAACGAGTAGGCTAGTAACAGCTCCTTTGTATTTGAATGACCTTGACTTGTTCTGGCTGACAGGCAATCACGTTTCTTGGACTGCTGAAGCACTTGGAGAATGACCCAGGCCCTCATCTTGTTGTTGTACCCGTCTCCCTGCTGGAGAATTGGTATCGGGAATTGAATATGTGGTGCCCGTCTCTTGAAGTGGTGTTTTACTATGGAGACCAAAAGACTCAGTTGAAGTCGGAGCTGCAGTCAGTGGCGAAAAGCGGTAGACCTGCTCCATTCAATGTGCTTCTGACGTCTTACACCATCTTTGAGAGGGACAGGTCAGTCTGTGCATGACCCCTTACAGAAGATGTGCTGATAGCCTGATTGCCTTTTCGGCTGTCTGTCTGTCTGTGCGAACTGCCATTGGCTATTGTGTGAAAGAAGTGACGAAGGAAGAACGTTCTTCTGCAGTGTTGGGCACACTGTTCGTTCGCTTTTGGGGGGTTTGTTCACAAGGCGCTGAATGTGCAACAGCACTGTTGCCACTATTTGCGTCACGGAGTTCGGGCAGTATATCTGTGCCATCAGCTTCACTGCCTGGCTTTTCAAGAAAGGATCATAATGGAGAAATCTGAGTATCGACCTGGCTAAGTAGGTGTGTGCAACGAAGCTGGACAAGGAAAAGATGAAAATAATAAAAATATCGCATATTGTGGATTCCAGACTCTGACTCTTCTTTCACTTTTTAAGATTCAAAAAGAGAAAAAAAGAAAAGGAAAAAAGAAGGTAGACCCTTTTCATGGAATCCTGGTAAATGTTCAGGAAAGGGCCAAAATTTTATGGAGGTCTTCCGTAAAACAGAAACTCGTAACTCAGGACCAAAATCAAATAGTTTCAGCAAAAAAAAATAAAAAATAATGGGCGTTGTGGTCCTGACTCCTTCCTATTCTTGGAAGGGTCAGTGCAATTCCTTTTGCAGTGGCAAGCGGCATACCCAACGGACTCCTGCACGTGCATCCTTCCATTAGGCCAAAGAACCCCATGAGCAGCGCTATTTACTCTTTGTATACAACAATTGACCGCCACATTAGCCATTGTTCTTATGGTATTCCTCTTAGTCCAGGATTACCTGTATTGTCATATGGGCTTGATTGTCCAGAATAGGCCAGGACAACTTGGTAGTACTTGGTACGCATGGCTTCGTGTGGTTCCTTTTTCGTTGTGCATTGTGGCCTGTTGCCTGAACTGGCTGCCATTCGTTTTACCAGGTCTGTTCAAGCAATGGCGATACCCAGATGGGATTTGCTGTTGCTTGAAGCCATTCTGTGACTTCCGCGTCTCCTCCTGCTGAATCGTGCCATGTTCCACTGGAGAAGACCCGCCTTCAAAAGTCGATTAGCTATTGAAATTTCTGATTGGCCAAATGTTCCAGCTTTGTTGGACTTCTGGTTGTTAGTGCGGAGTGTGTTCGTCTTCTTTCTGCTCATCATTTTTCCACTCTGTAGCAAAAGTGGTCATGTTACTGCAAATTCAACCGACAACATGGGGGAAAAGCATTCCGGACGAAGCTCGTGAAGGTGGCTTTTATCATGTGTTAGTTGCGTATACCTCTTCTCGGTTGGCGCCGGTGTCTTAAGCATTCACCGTCATCAGCCTTTTATGCATCCACCTCCTTTCTATGGTAGGGTAAATTTTATGGTTATTTGTGCTTTTGCTTGGATTTGGAGGTTTCTGATTTAAGGTGATGCTTGAAGCTTCAATGAATTAGGGTCAATTTTTTAGGGTTCGTGCTTTTGCTTGGATTCAGAGGTTTCTGATTTCAAGGTGATGCTTGAAGCTTCAACGAGTAAGTCTATGGACTAGCATACTGGACTATTATACCAATTGTTATTGAACTAAAAAACTCTCTGTGGTGTCAGCCTCTCAGTAGCTTTTTTTTTTTTTTTTTTTTTTTTTTTCCCTGGTTGTTTCTTCCTTTTCCTGTAAGGTGATGTTTTTATCCTGATGAAATTGATTGATTGATTCTGCGGAAATTCTGCTGACAGCCCTGTTCAGAAGGAGGATCGGCAGTTCCTCCGTCGCTGGAACTGGTCATGCGTGGTAATGGATGAAGCACACCTGCTTAAGGACCGCCTCAGTGCAAGAACACGGCGTTTGAGGATGATTGCTGCGACTGCAAAGAGGCGGCTGATGCTCACTGGCACTCCCCTCCAGAATGATCTTCAGGTTTGTCTTTGCAGTCCCACTTTCTGCCGAACTTCTGTTTCATAAATTTTGTTGTTGACGTATGACTTCGTAAGATGCATCGACTGCAAAATGAAATATTGATGGTGCGGCATATTACACATGATTATCCCTTTGGAGTTTTTATGTACACATTTATGGATGTGTTGGCTTCTCGGCAAAGCTCACCAATGACCCCAGTTGCCCTCCTTACCGTACAAATGACCCTAGTGCATGCGCGTGACTCACCGAAGACCCATTTACCCTCCTTGCAGTACAACTGATTCAAGTGCATGGGCGTGATTGCTACCTGGTTCACGATAACGAAAGTTGATTGAATTGCGACGTGGTTACCATCCGATCAATGTCGTGTCTTTTCTGTCATTGCCATTCACATCTGCAGTAAAGCTGTTATGTTTGCACATGTGTGGTTATGCATATAGTTGGTCCCTGTCTTGTCCTTGGCTTGCTCAAGTGGAGCTGCTGTTGAAAAACACGATTATGAATGCTTTCTGTTTGTTGTGTTTCAGGCTGCTGCCCAGCCAGTTCCTTGGGATTTTTGACATGGCGGCCCTCCTCCTTTCCCTCTCTTTTGGCTTTGTCTGCATCTCAGTTCTCTTATGATTGTGTTACCTGCTGACTCCCTGCACTTCTTCTGGGGTGTCCCAGAGAACATTCAGATCTGTCCCAGAGAGACTATGGAGCACATCTGCTCTGCAAAGAGTCTCGTGGAGTGTCTGTTGGAGAGCACTCAAATTGCTGAATCATTGTTTTCTCCATGTCCTCTGTCAGGAACTATGGGCATTGTTGGAGTTCTTATTGCCGGACGTCTTCAAGGACGTTGACCTGAACGCGTATGCCGCACAACAGTTGAAACTGAGTGGCAAAGAGGGCAGCGATGAGGATAACAAACTGGCTGCGAGGATGAAAGCAATGCTAGGACCTTTTGTGCTACGCAGAGTAAAAGCAGATGTGATGCGTCAGCTTGTTCCGAAGACGAAACGTGTGAGTTTATCCTTATTTTCTGCTTGTTTGATACCCGTCCATCATTCCATGCGTCTTCCAATTCCAACTTATAGTCGCTTGCTGCACACTTATTTGGGTTCAATTTTGCAGACCCAATCCTTGCAGCACATGTCGGAGAGAGAAAACTGGACTGAACGTCAGGCGGATCTGTTTTCATCTTCCTACTTATAGTCAGTCGTTCGCAGGATACTGTATGAAGAAGCCCTGATGCACTTTAGCAGCCAATTCCGTCAGCGAAACTCATCCTTAGAAGACTGGTCTGGGCATTGGATGAACATACTCACTCCTGTTGCTTGGTGGATGTGCATGGCCTGTTGCTTGGACATGTTCTTTTTGCAAAATGAACAACAAATTTAGGTACGAAAGGAAGAGACCTACAACAACAGAGTTATCACCAAGATGTGATAGGAGTCCCTGCCTTGGGGACCGTCAGTCCGGTTCCTTTTCCACCGGCAAGTCAAAAGTGTACAACGATACACACACGCTTCCTTCCGTCCGGCCAAAGGATCCCTGTACATCATTGATTACTCCATTTTATGGAAGGTTGACGGTCAGCTTGCGCTTGTACCCAAAGTCCTCTCAGCTGGGGTGAACCCCTGCTGTCAAGACCAAGACTTTGGGAGCGAAGAATCCCCGTCCCGGCTCGAATGTTCATTGTTGTTCCGGCTTATTCAAGTCCTCTCCGGTAGTCCTTGCCCCCGTCTGTCCATGTGTGCCTTGCTGTTGCTTTCTTCTGAGGTCGTCTTGTTGGCCGCCTATACCCAGACCGTCTGAGGTTCTTCTTGCACCTGGGAGGCATCTCGGCCTGATGCTATGTCTGAGTTGTGCCAGTCCTTCCGCCTCATGTTGAGTCCATTTAGCCATGCCACTTTCCCTCTTGCCAGCCAGGTCCTGTTGAATTTTGCCAGTACTGCCTCTCTTGTCTCAGGATTGTTCTGCACCCATGTTCTGACCTTCTTCCACTGGCTTAGGACTTCCGCCTCAATCATCCCTTTAGTTGCAGCCCACACCTTCTCCCTTGGATTCCTGGTGCCCTCCAACGTTTTGCTGCATCGCTCTTTCGAAATGGCTCAGAGTGTGACCTTGCGTATCATACCGAACCAGATCTTTTCCGATTTGCTCAGGTTAGGGGTTAAGTTAGTCCAGAGGAGGAGTTGGAGGGGGTGTTCCGGGAGAGGGGATGGGAAAAGGCTGTCCCATAGATGTGATGCCCTTGCCCAGTATTCTGTGGCTTCTTTACAACTAATTAGGCAATGTATCATGTCCTCTGGCTCTTGGTCTGTGCAGGCTCTACAGATGTCGGAGCTGTTCGGATCGTTTTTCCTTTTTCTGATGTGCAGCCATTGATTTACTGGCAGCACAGCAGTATGCTACAAGCCACTGCATGCTTCTGATTCTAATTGGCCTTCTGGTTTTGTATTTTTCCAAGGGATCTTTTGTATTTTTCCAAGGGATCTTAGAAATTAGTTCTGAGTCAGCGCCAATTAGCTTTCTCCACCTGTTTTTGATTGCTCATTTTTGCCAGTCCTGTGACGCGAAGGCACCATGCGTGTGGTGTGTGGAGTGTTTTGGAGCTTTGGGATTGCATTTTCCTGCACTGTTAGCCAGTCTAATGACTGTTCTTTCTTTTTCCTTTTTTCCTTTGTAATGCTTATTGCTCGCCTCTGACATCAGCTGAATCGCTCGGTATTGCAGGTTGAGTTTGTGACCATGGTGCCACAGCAGAAGCAGGCATATGAGGCTGCTCTTGACACTTGGCGTAATAGTGTGAAAGCCAAGATGGCAGCCAAGAATGGGGAATCTGCTGTGTCAAGTGGAGCATTGTCGGGCGTCTTGACTGGAAGACAAATTTTGAATATATTCTCTCATCTCCGGAAGGTGGGTTTCTGTTGTTTCAAATTCTGATACTGCTTTTTAAGCTCACTCCAGGAAAATAGTTTCATTTCACTAGTTGGTGATGACACCACACCTTGGCAACGATAAAAACGGTGGCAACAATAATAAGAGACGATTTGGAAAAAGAGTTGAGAGTGTGCTTGAAAATATTTGAGAGCACTGTAGTTATAGACTTCATGCTCTCAGCCAGAGACACCTGCATCTTGCCGCAATGGGTGCGAAGTGGAT